TTAACACCATCACTATCAATTTTTAGGTGCCAGGGGAATGTTTGTATTCACTCAAGCCTTTGCTCTTAATAAGTGTGATAGGGTCACATTTCCCCTATCCTGTTCTTGATAAAGGTAATCCACCAGAGTGACCAAGGCTAATTCAGTCTCAAAACCAAACCTGAACCCAGTTTTAAGTGGATCCAGATAATCAGTGTCATCTAGGAATTATTCTAACTGCTCCAACACTACCTTCTCCACCACCCTCTCTTGAAAAAAAAGGGTATTGGTAGCTGGCCAGTACTTATCACACACCATTGTATTTATCAATTGCAGGTGGGAATAGCTGCCTCAAGACCACCAAGAGGTGACCTAACCATGACTATGATGCAGTATCAAAACATACAACTTCCAGTCTATCAGCTCCCCACAAAGACCAGATCAAGTATGTGTCCTGCTCTGTGTATTGTGCAGATAACCATATGAGAGAGGCCCTATGGTTGCTCTGGAAGCCATGAAATCCCAAGCCGAACCCAAGGTGTCCTTAGCATAGATTAAGCTGACGTCACTCACCATTCCAGACGGCACCAGCACCACACCAGGGATCACCTTGATCAGCTTGGTCAGGGAGGCCACTAGGTGGCAGAGAGAGCAGAACACCACAATCGCATCTTTAGCCTGTCTCATTGGTCCAGCACTGGGTGGAGGCCCACTAGTCCCACTCCAAGGAGGGGTTTCCTGGTGATGGACAGCAAACCCTGGTGGACTGCAGCAATTCCCCCACTCTGCTGCTGCAGTTTGGCTTGGTGCTGCACCAAGTACCCAAGCATGCAGTGCTAAGTCAGGTCTAGTCCCACCAACCTCCCGCCCCCGATACATCTCAGCAGGACACACGTGTCATTTGAGTTGACACCTCTTTTTGGACTACTCTCATATAATCCGCTGTAATTTGTAAATAAATCTCTTAACAATATCTAAGGATTTCTAGGAAAGTGTTTTCTGTGCCTCTGAAAGTTGCAGCTTTTCCTTATGGTTTTTCTGATGATATTTTTTCTTCATATTTAAGAGTACAAGTTCAGACTTGAAGAATTTGCTTGTTCGTTGCTGTGAATTAATCTGATCACAGACCTGTTGCTAAATTTTAAATCCTTCATAACGACAACAACTTGGGAAACCAAAAGCTACAGGGATGCTATTTCAGAATGTCCTAATCCTCTCCTGATGAGAAACTTTGAATATATTTGATGGGATTTAGTAAAAGCCCCAAAGGAGATGGTGGAGTTTCCCCTCATATATAATACTGTACGTCCTGTTTATCAGATCACAGCAGTACTAGTCATGTATAATAAGAAGAAAAGAAGAACAGAAGGTAGGCCACTTGTCAAAAAGTTAAGGAAAGATAGAATCTTGTCTCTAAACAACTCTAAACAAAGCATTGCTGAAGTCCTAGAGAATCAGGGATTAGGCAGTCTGGCTTTTGTTTCTTGGAAAGAAAACACGAACTCCAGTGACAGAAATACACAGCTCTGAGCGGTTGCTGCTACAACTGTCAAGAGAGGAAATGGCACGCATATCTATGGTATAATAAAACAAAAATCCATAAAGGATTTGGTAATCACATATTTCGAAGATCTTTATATGAAGTATGGGACAGGTATAAAAACTTATTAGAATGTAAAGCACCATGGTGGTTATCTCCATTAGAAGCTATGAGTGTGAAAAAGATAAATATGAGTAAAAATTGGGTTACGTATGAGAAATTGTTGGGGGGGGGAGGAAATAAATGGAAAATGAAACCATATGAAGAGGTTAAAGAATATGTAAATGATTGGTTGCACTATCGCCAAGTCAATGAAATATATAAAGAAGATTTAAAGGAAAAAGGATTTGATGATTAAAAAAAAATCAAAATTTGAAATAGAAATATTAAACAATGAATGTAAAACAATGTCTAAAATGTATAAAATACTGTTGGAATGGCATTTGAAAGACAAGGAAGTGAAATCGGTAATGATACATTGGGCAAAAGACTTTGGATATAATATACAGCTTGAAGAATGGGAAAGGTTGTGGAATGAAAGGATAAAATTTACAGCCTGTAATGGTTTGAAAGAGAATATGATGAAAATGATGTATAGATGGTATATTACACCAGTGAAATTAGCTAAAATGTATAAGACAAATAATAAATGTTGGAAATGTAAAGAAAAAGAAGGAACATTTTATCATATGTGGTGGGAATGTAAAAAAGTAAAGAACTTCTGGGAAATGATATATAATGAGATGAAAAAGATGTTGAAATATGCATTTTTTTAAAAACCAGAAGCATTTTTACTTGGTATTATTGGTCAGGAAATTAATAGGCAAGATGTTAAATTGTTTTATATGCAACAACTGCGGCAAGAGTATTGTTAGCCCAGAAATGGAAACAAGAAGAAATTCCGACGAAAGAAGAATGGCAGACGAAATTAATGGACTATGCAGAATTGGACAAAATGACAGGAAGGATTCGAAACCTGCGGGACCAGAGATTTACAGAAGATTGGAAGAAGTATATGAATTATTTGAAGAGCAACTGTAATCAACAAATTACGCTAGTAAGACTACAAGAGGTTTTGTAAGGAGAAATATACAAAGTGTTACAAAGTAGAAAAAGATAGAGATATTGGTTATGAGTTTGAAATGTAATAGGGAAGATAAGAAATGCATACTAAGAGATTAGACTGGAAAATTTTCAGACAGGATTGATGCTCTACTGACTGGGCTATCTCCAAGCTCATTAACTTTTAGAGTAGAAAATATCTGACAGATTACAGACAAATCAGACTAAGGGTTTTTGTGCCGGACCCCTATCAAATTTAAACACTGCCCCCTCCCCCAAGAACCATCTATAACTTTTTGATATTTGGCAGAGTTAGATGAAATTTGTGGGCCTGGGATTTGGACTCAGAGGCTGAACCCGAGGAATCCCAGCCTGCACAGGAGTCCCCGCCTCCAGAACCAGCTGAGCCGGGGCTGGGGCCTGAGCCTGAAGGGTCCTCACCTGTGCTGGATCCTCAGGTGCAGGCACCAGCTGAGTCTGCTCTGGCCCCTGAAGTGATGGAGGACCCATTGCCTGCAGGTGCTCCACTCTCAGCCCCGTCAGGGGAAGAGGAGGTTGCCTCTGGGACCAGTAACCCTCCAGCCTCTCCTGAGCTGCAGAGGCTCAGGGCAGAGAGGCGGAGGGAACTAAGTTCCTGCAGGAGGAGTGCTCGCCTCCGGGCCAGGAGAGGCGAGTCACCTGTGGACCAGGGCCGCCCTATGCCTCGGGGCAGATTAAAGCCAGTCAGCCCCAGTCCCAGGTTGCGGGAGCAACGTTGTTGCTAGCCTGTTCCTGCCTGCACCCTGACCTGCTCTTCTGCCAGAGTTCCTGATCCCACCCGACTCCCCACCTTGGACCCAGCTACAGCTTTGACAGACAGCCTTCATACTGCACCATTGACCTCGGACTGGGACTCGGACCTCGCCTCTCGGTTATTCCCTGGGACCAGCACACTGCTGCAGTTTTTCTCCGAAAGCAGCCTTACAGTTTGTGGATAACATTAAAAAAAAAAAAAAGATTAACACAACCTCCCAAGGGAGACTGTTCCACTGTCAAACAGCTCTTACTGTCAGAATATTTTTTCATAGGTCTAGTCGGAATCTCTTGCATCTTGAAGCCATTGTTTCGAGTCCTACCTTCCAGAGCAAGAGAAAAGAAGTTTGCTCCATCCTCCATGTGACAGCCCTTCAGATATTTGAAGATGGTTATCATATCTCCTCTTTTCCAGGCTAAACATTCCAAGCTCCTTCAACCACTCCTCATAAGACTTGGCTTCTAGACTCTTGGTCATCCTAGTTGTCCTCCTCTGCACACGTTCCAGCTTGTTAACATCCTTCTTAAATTGTGGCACCCAGAACTGGAACACAGTATTCCAGGTTTGGTCTGTGTAGAATAGAGTAGAACTATTACTTCCCCTGATTTGGACACTATATTTCTGTTGCAGCATTCACTTTTTTGCTGCTGCTGCATCACACTGTTGACTCATGTTAAGCTTGTGGTCCACCAAGACCCCTAGATCCTTTTCACATGTACTGGTAGTAAGCCAGAGCTCCCTCATCCTATATTTGTGCATCTGGTTCTTCCTGCCTAAGAACTAAGATTCTGCGGCACAGGATTAAAATAGTAATGTTATCGACAAGACTGTCAAATCAAAATTGTCAAGTGGTTTCTTGACATTGCCATGTATTCATTGTGAATGGGGACAAATGAAAATATTCTCATTACTACTTAGTCAAGGAGGAGGTTGCTGGTATCACCATCAGCCATATACTGTTCCTCTACCATACTTGTCCCTATGGTTCCCCCAAATCTCTGCCTTTGGGGCTACCACTCAAGTGAGGGAAGCAATACTTTTGACTGAATAGAGTGAGGGCCTAATGCTGTGAAGTAGGGGTTACCACAATATAGAGCTATAGCAGATCACAAAGCCTAGGAATTCTAGACCAATACTCAAGGCTGTATCAGAGCAGAGATCACTAGCAATTAGTATGATTGGCATTACACAACATACAACCACACATTGTGTGGCATAGAAATCACGCATTGTGTGGCTCAAGAAATTCAAAGTGTTGGTGAGGATTATAGCACTTGTAGATAAAGGCTTTGTTAGAATGGGCTGTAGCTCTTGCACAATGCATAGCCCCAAAGGATAAAACGTTATGTACGCTGATGTGTTCATTGAATCTCATAAGAAGAATCATGAGCTGACATGACTGGTGAAGGGTGACTCCTATGAAGCATTGCTGAAGAGCAAAATAGGACGGCTCTGAAAGAAAACGCCTGGAGCAATGGAATGGAAAGGGTGGTGTGTGCTGATGACAATAGGTCTCTATAAAAGCGGAGCACAGAGACACAGTTGCAACAACCTTTCCACTGGACAGAGTGGAAGCAGAGTAGTTAGCTGGAAAACTGAGCTGTACGTGCTCAGTAGACGGTCAGGATGCCTCCAGAGTCGGGCACTAGTGTGGGAAAGCCAGAACTTGCCTCGGGTTCCCCACAGTTTTTCACCTGGGAGGAGATAGGACTCCGCACAGGCAAGGGAGAATTCAAGGAGGAGAGATGGCTGGTAATCCGAAGGAAGATCTATGATATCAGCCAATTCCATTTGCGACACCCTGGAGGAACCCGTGTCATCAGCCATTATGCAGGACAAGATGCCACGGTGAGAGCTTGTAGCGGGGCCTGGGGACCCAGAGCATTTGGGAAGAACCATAGCTTAGCGGCCAAACGTCTGCTTTGTATGCATGATGTCCCGGGTTCAATCTTGGTACTGCCTATTATCTCAGTGGATTTCAAATAGGAGACATAGAAAAGGTACAGTATCTGCCTGGTTCCCTGGAGAACCACTGCCAGGCAAAATGGACAGGACTGGGTGAGATGGGCAATGGTCAGACTTAATGTAAGGCAGCCTCAGATGACCATATGATATGGTGCTTACTTGCCAACATTGTATAATATATGAGGGTGCTGAAAAGATTTAGACTAAGGGAAGAAGCATCTGAAGGGACAGAAAAGGAAATTCCAGAAGTCGCAGGCTATTCAGAAAAGAATTTGGGTTGTATCTGGGAATGGATGGATGAAGCAAGAGTCTGCAACTCCTCTTTCAGACATGGAAATGGGGCAAATAGTAGATTAGAACCATATATAATGTTAGCCTGCTTAAATCCCACAGCATTTCAATCCCAGGGGATTTAAGCAGCCTAATAATGTGTGAGATTGCAACCTTAAGCTTCAAAGCGTCTTCAAAAAATGCTTGCTCAGAAGCACCACCTAAATTTTGTCCAGGTGATATTAAAGTGGATTTGAGGGCTTCTCATCAGACAAAATATCAATAACGCTGGGGAGCCTCGAAGAATTTCAGAAACATCAGTGAGATCTCTCAGGTTTGGGTGGGTGAGTGTGGTTTCTTGTTAAATTATGCTTAGGGTTTTATCTTTCTCTGTGTATTTGCACAGCCTTATACTCTCACAATAGCTTCCCAACCAAATTCATTCAGTGGTGTTTTCAGTGAAGTTGAAATTCATAAAGCATTGCCTATGATCAAGGGTACCCTAAGAAAAGGCTATTTGGGTGGCATTTAGCTAAGATTTACTCAGGGTAGACCCAATGAAATTAATGAACATGACTAGTTAGGTAAATTCATTTTAGTGGGTTTACTTGGTGAGTTTGAAAGAAAACTTGTTTTCATTGAGCATTCTTGGTAAGGGGCATAATTTAGGTCTTTTCATCTGCAGCTTGTTTTTTTGTTTTTGTTTTTGTTTGTTTTTTTAAATCCAATAAAGCAGGAAAATGAATGGGGATACCTTGATGAATTAAAGTTAGCACTGATAACATTTTACTTGGTTTGTGGTATGCAGCACACCTTTGAAATTAATCTCAAAAGAAATAACTAATAGTTTATTTCTGTTGCTAAAACGATGAGCATTATAACAACTAAAAATAGCATTCATGTTGGAAATGCCATAGCACCTGGACATAACCTAGATGTTTCTTAATCTCCTTTGATTGATTGCTTTTATTTCTATGCTGCTTTTCATTCAAATGAATCTCAAAGTGGATTACAAACAATAAAAAACCAGTAACATAATAGAACGTCACAAATACAGCATAAAACACAAAATTAACAAATCATCAATAAAACAATTACACCCTATAAAACACTATTCAAAAAGCAGCAACTAAGAAATGAGCTAAGCATCACAATTACATCAGAAATCATTATCTAATTATTATGTGCAACCTAGAAGCTTGTTCTGTGGCCTACGCTAAACTGCCTGTGCCTGTCAATAATGTCTTGCTTTTGGAATCATGCCTACCGTTGGACCGCTCTGCTGTGTTTGACCCGACTTTGTCTCATGACTCTGATTATTGGACCATGCCCACACTTGGATTGCCTCACTATGCTTGATGATCCACTGAATTATGGAACTATGCAACTGTTCCTTTGTTCAGACTAGCAAGCAAGCAAGCAAGCAAGCTCTATACATTTTTATAGAGAAAAAGGTGTGCCACACGACTTGTTCTTGCCTATCTATTCTTAACATTGACTCACTGCTGGTCTAGCTGGATCCGAGTTGGGTTCTTCTTCTTCTCTGGAGATTACTTGTAGCCGAGTAAGATTGTCTTCCATGAACACGGTCTTAACTGTGAGTCCGTAAGTGACTGTGGAGGCCAATTCTGGATCCACACGTCCTTCCACAGTGGGGACATAGGTTTCTGAGTGGGAGTTGATCATGGTGTGGATTTGCCAAGTGTGCCTTCCTTTTAACACGTTTCTCCCTTGCATCTGGAGTTCGAGTGTCTTCAAAGCCCATGACACCTCTGGTAAAGGCTGTTCTCCAATTGGAGCACTTGCAGACCAGTGTTTCCCAGTTGTCAGTGTTTATACTACATTTTTAAAGATTTGCCTTGAGAGAGTCTTTAAACCTCTTTTGTTGACCACCAGCATTACGCTTTCCATTTTTAAGTTCAGAATAGAGTAGTTGCTTTGGAAAACGATAATCAGGCATCCACACAACATGACCAGTCCAACAAAGTTGACGTTGAAGGATCGTTGCTTCAACACTGGTGATCTTTGCTTCTTCTAGTACATTGGCATTAGTTTGCCGGTCTTCCCAGTTGACATGTAAAAATTTTCAGATATACTGTTGATGGAATCTTTCGAAGGAGTTGGAGATGGCGTTTATAAGTGGTCCATGTTTTACAAGCATACAGTAAGGTTGGTAGTAAAATAGCTTTGTAAACAAGCGTTTTGGTTTCCCTGTAAATGTCCCAGTCCTCAGACACTCTGCACCTAATTTGGGAGAAAGCTGCACTCGCAGAGCTCAGGCAATGCTGATTTCGACATCAATGTTGGTCCTTATGGAGAGATAACTGCCCAGGTAGGTGAAGTGATCAACATTTTCCAACGTTGCACCATTGAGTTGGATTTGTGGTGCTGCAGATGGGTTGTTTTGTGCTTGTTGGTGCAGCACTTTGGTTTTTGTGTTTTTGTTTTGTTTGTTTTTTGGATGTTGAGCAATAGGCCAAGCTTTTCATAAGCTTCTGTGAAGATATTTAGGATGGTTTGGAGTTCATCCTCTTGAGTCTGCACACACCTCGTTGTCATCCGCATACTGAAGCTCTATGACAGAAGGTACAGTAACCTTCCTCTTTGCTTTCAGCCTGCTCATATTAAAGAGCTTTCCATCTGTTCGATATATGATTTCTACTCCAGAGGGAGTAGAACTTTTAGGAGTTTTTAGATTTGAGTTATGGTGCACAGAACAGATCAGTCACTGACTGATGCTCCTCAGATGCAAGGATCAAAAATGATTGCCACCAGTGCATCTTTTTTTGTGGGTACTCAAGTGTATATACCTTTTTTCGAGAAGAAAAGCACTAATTGCCACCTGTTCATCATGTTTAGGGACAATTGAGCTATTATGACCAACAACTGTTGCTACAACCCCCCCTCCAACCATTTATCTGAATTTCTTCCAAAACAATTTAAACCAGAAGTCATCAGGTTGTCTTTTTTCCTCTGCGTCTTCGAGGAGGGGAGAAAAGATGAAGAATGTGACCATTACTAGTCCTTGTGTTTAAGTTCCTTTCACTCAGGCCAAGCGGGAAGGTTGAAAACAGTTCACTTGCAGTCCACAGGGCAGGGCAAACCAGAAAGGAGAAGAAAATCTAAGTCCCCTGAAAGAGATATTCTCCTCCACACAAGGTAAAGGTAAAGGTACCCCTGCCCGTACGGGCCAGTCTTGCCAGACTCTAGGGTTGTGCGCTCATCTCACTCAAGAGGCCGGGAGCCAGCGCTGTCCGCAGACACTTCCGGTTCACGTGGCCAGCGTGACAAGCTGCATCTGGTGAGCCAGCGCAGCACACGGAACACCGTTTACCTTCCCGCTGGTAAGCGGTCCCTATTTATCTACTTGCACCCGGAGGTGCTTTCGAACTGCTAGGTTGGCAGGCGCTGGGACTGAACGACGGGAGCACACCCCGTTGCAGGGATTCGAACCGCCGACCATGCAATCGGCAAGTCCTAGGCTCTGTGGTTTAACCCACAGCGCCACCCGCGTCCCCCACACAAGGTACACATTCCCAAATGCAGAGCGCCACAGCCACACAGGACCATGACACAAACTCCCACAAGAAGAATCTTGTCACAGCACATGAGGAAATGCCCTAACTACATCTCTGGTTTCTGGGGTCTTCCCAGCACTGCACCAGACTCTGCTTTTCTCAGCCACGCAAACCAAATCAGTGGAGGACCTGGCTCGGCTGAGCTTGAAAGACCCAGAATATATCTGGGTACACCAGAAGGCAAAGTTCAGTACTCCAGCAACTTTGGAACAGAACTATGTTGCTTGTGAACTGCACGAGAAAATCAATATGCTGTACTCCTTTTTGAGAAGTCATCTGAATAAGAAAAGTATTGTATTTTTTGCAAGCTGTAAAGAGGTTCAATATTTGTTTAGAGTCATCTTCGACCCGGGCTCCCTATACTGGCTCTTTGTGGCAAGCAGCAGCACATGAATAGAATGGAAGTCTACACTGATTTTGTGGCAAGAATCAGCAGTTCTCTTTGCTACGGATCTTGCGGCTCGGGGGCTTGATTTCCCTGCTGTGAATTTGGTCATTCAGTTTGACTGTCCAGAGGACGCAAATACTCACATTCACAGAGTTGGCAGAAAGAACAGCCTGGTACAAAGAAGGTGAGGAAGCTCTCCCTGTGCTGCTTTCTTTGGAGGAAAAGTTTTACTCCCTTAAATCCGCCTCTGCTGGATGTTCAGGTGTGAGAGTGAGAGTGCAAAAATGCAGCTGGGTAATTTTAGAAGCTGGAGTTAGTGGTCTTACTTTGGGTGGTGGGGAGAGGGGGTTTTAGACAGCCATCCTTTAATGGATCCATCCACACCCAGTTCTGACTCTGTTTGAGAGAGAATAAGATAAAAAGAGTATAGGGTAGGGTGTGTGTGATAATCTTAAGATAGCCAGCACCCCTCACTACTTCCTTGGACATCTCCCTGTCAGAGTCAGAGACAGAATGGCGTGGCTCTGGCCCTAACTATTGCTGATATGCCAGCCCAGAAACAAATGTCCCCAAGGGAATGCAGAAGAAAAAAAGCATTTCCCAACTGTTATCTTTACACTAGTCTTGGAGTGCCTGGACTTACGGAATGATAACAGCAGCACACTCACACTTGAGAGAGGGAGGTATCAGCAAACTCAGGAAACTCAAGTGGGGGGGGGAGAGAATTGTGTGGGGGACCACTAATGAGAACCAGCACCAGCGGAGAAATTCTGTATGGAGAGGCCTTCATATATGCCTTATTTGACTTAACAGTGAACGGGTGAAATGTATGTCACTCCCAAATGTGTCACTGGGATTTTCTTTCATCATACACCTGCAAGAGGGAATTGCCCAAAGTTACATATCCCCCAGGCAAATTCTCAGTATGTTGTCCTTTCTTAAGCTTCTCTTTATTTTTTTCACCTACTTTACCTCCATTCTCATTTCTCTCAGTCTTTCACAACAGTTCCTCCCCCTCTTTTTACTGCTGCTTCTCCCCCCACCCCTCACTGGCCCACAGAGGTCCTGTTACTTCCCCTTCCAAATGTCAAGTCATATCTCCTTCCTTGTTCAGAATTTGTATTTATTTATTTAATAAAAATTATACACCACTCGACTGTTTTTTAAAAATAAAAAACCCTGATTGTGCCTCCCTCCCCTCTCTTGACTCCCAATCCCAGCTGTCCAATGAACTGTAATTCCAAAATCACCCATCAGCCTGCATCACAGAGACTATCAGCCCTCAAGGAAGAGAACCAGCCGGCACCTTGTATCATTGGTTGCTGAGCTCAAAACGAACTTCCCAGAATATCAGCTCCATCACTTCAGCATAGCAGCCTCCTCCGTTTTATACCCTATTTTGTTCTCTCTGTGGTTTTAGGATGCTTTCACCGCTTTCCACAAGGATGAGGACTTAGTCAAGAAATACCTGAGCTCCCTACTCATTGGGGAGCTGGCACCTGATCAACCCAGCTGCGAACCAACCAAAAATGTGAGTTTCCCTCGCAACTTTCTTTTAAGGATATGTGGTGTGGCCAGCCTCAAGACATTTTGCAGCCTGGGAGGAAGGATAAGATGGCACCCTCTCCATTACACATACTGAAGATTGCTGGTCTGGAATCTGACCTACAACTTCCGTGCTGGTGATGCTGGTCCCAGGACAGTGTCCATCTTCACACCTGTGACCAGCAGGCTATCTTAAGGGGCAGAGAGTAGGCTGCATGACATAAACAGTTTTGTCTTCTGATATAGGGGAGTTGCTGGGGGACTTAGGAGGAAATACGGGGGTCTGGTACTGCCCTCCCTCACCAACTCTGCCTAATGGTAGGAAAAACGCTGCATATAACAAATACAGGAAATATACAGTAGCTTGCAACTGCAATCCTGTAACATGCTTAGCCCATGTTCTAGTTGTGGCACCTAACTGGGTGTAGGACTCCCTTTGTGACCCCATAACCTTGCTCTCAACATTTTAAGTAATTGTGTCCTAGAGATCACTGAAGAATAGAAAACACACACTGGGCATGTGATTTTTCATGATGCTGCAGAAGCTCAGTATTTCAAGTTATTAGAATGTAGCCAGCTGTTCTTTTGCAGACAATCCAAGCTACAAAGACGTCCACCCCTATGCTTGCTACAGCTTCCTCTTCATCCCTCATTGAAATGAAGATGGGGAGATAGTGGAGATGGATTGTTTGCTTTTTTAAACTGTCCCTGGTTAGACACTGAGCTAAAGGAGATCCCCTGGTCTCACAGTCCCCCTGCTGGCTGGGTGCCTTCCAGAGTATGTTTCTGTGAGTAAGTCTGTTCCACACGCAGTCTGCATCATATATAACCACAGATAAGAGATATTAACTTTAGGCACCTCTCACAGGCAATGCTGGTCAATGATTTTCATGAGCTGCGCACCACAGTGAAGAGGATGGGACTCCTACAACCTCGTTTTCTCTTCTTCGGCTTCATGTTTCTGCATGCTTTCCTGCTAGATACTGCATCCTGGCTGACTATCTGGTATTTTGGACTATCTTGGGTGCCCTTCCTTGTTGGTGTGGCACTCTTCACCATTGCACAGGTAATGTATTTGTGTCATGAAGATCTCTGGGGTGTTTCTCAGCACCTCCAGGATCAATGAACTGCTTTATGATTCATAGCATTCTCCCTAGCCACAATGCTGGAATTTTATTGTGTCAGTGGAATTTCAGCCTCTTTGTTGGCGTTCTGGCCAATAAATTAGCACTGATGCTCCTGAGTTGATCGTGTAAAGCAGTAGCAGAATTCTTCACCATTTCTCAAATATATGGTGCCATACTGCATCACATTGTCCTAGCGTTGCTTTTTGCCTTCCAGATCCAGTATGCATTTTTACAACATGATCTTGGGCATCTTTCAGTCTTTCAGAAGGCCAAGTGGAACAGACCATTTCACTTCATTGTGATGGGAATATGTAAGGTAAAATGGATACAATGACAATGTCCCAATAGCAGTGCCCTCTTTGCACTTCACTGGGGGAAGAAGGATAATTTCTTGGGCTTGTCTGGTGTGATGATAACAAGGATAATGAAAATAGTGTTGATGATATGATGTTTCAAGCATTCAGTGTGCTTCAGATATGGGATCTCACTCATTCCTACAACAACTCTATTAGTATTGCCTCAGTCCATACTCAGGGGGCAAAGTGATGAAAAGCATGGTTTAAGGCTTAGTGGCTTCATGATTTTGCTGAGATTTGAACAGCTTGCTACACAACACCAGCTGTTGGGGCTAAAAGACTCTGGTAAAGGACTATGGCAACTCTTTCCCCTCACTTTGGCAGTAAGGGGGCTCTTTAGAATACCTCAGTTCATCATGGCTAAAGAATAATTAGGGTACTACCTAGCAGTGGATCCTGGTTCACTAGGAAGTAAAGAACAAATAAAGTCAAGGTACTAAATAAGCACTACGTATCTCTGTAACATAGATATCGTCTTAAAACTTTACAAGAGTCTTTGGCCAATAGAATACACTGTTTCATGCCACCCTAATCTCTGAGCGGTGCAAGATTCCAGTGATTTCAGGTGCTTACTCAGGATTCATGTTTCCATTTGGAAATGAGGCACAACAGAGACTGTGTTGTCTTTAGGATATATGGTTTATTTACACACATGTATATATAACCTGAGTCTACAATGGAGGGGTTCACAGCATTAGCATACAAGAGGGTCTTGTTTCTTCCATAGCCACAGCCTTGGATTCAGCATGGCTCTCTCTCTCTCTCCTTGCTGCTTTGCTTCTAGGTCATATCACTGCAAACTCCACTCTAAACTCAGGCCTTGTCCTTCTAACTAACCATGAGTTTGCTGTCTCGCATAGAGCCCCTTTCCTTTGTTTCCCTTAATGGCCCGTCAGCCAGTCGATCACCTCAACACAGGAAGCTGGTCTGGCTTATATTTAAAAACTTGCGGGATCCAGGAAGCACACAGCCATCTAGGCCCAGCAGTGAGTGAGTTGGCAGTAGGCCAGGCCAGGGAGTTGCTCTTCTGACGTGAAGAGAGCCATTACAGATCTGGAGTCTTCTGTAAGGACATACATTCAGCTGAGTGAGACAGATGGCACATCCTTCTTACTTCCAAAGTGAAACAATGTAATGCAATGTGTTTTTAATGTTCTACGCTGCTCTGGGATCTTCTGATAAAGGGAGGTATATAAATCGAATAAACAACAACAATGGGGGAGGGTTTTTTCCTCCCTCACACACATTATTATTTAGGATCAGAGAGTGAATTTTGAACACTTGCCTTTAGATTGAAATATCAGAACTTAATAGTAACTCAACATGGCAGGAGATGAACTCACATGTGATGGTAGGAAATGGGAGGGTACAGATGGTAAAGTTGTATCATGTGCCCCCGTTTTTGTTTTTTTAAAAATCAGCTGTAGTTGAGCAAATGTATACACCTAGATTTATTAATCTCTTATATTGTGCAATCTTTATACAGCAGGAATGAGTACAGTATGTAGCTCTACCCACGAATTAATGGTATATATGTGTGTGTTTTCATTATGTATGAAGGGTGGACCACCAAGCCAATGGAACTATATGCATAACCAGCATCATGCCAAACCCAACTGCTTCCGCAAGGACCCTGATCTCAATATGCACCCATTTTTGTTCAGCCTGGGAAAGGCACTCTCTGTGGAGGTGAGCAGAAGACCTGGGAGTGACTCAAATCATGGAAAAGGGAACACCATGTTAACAGAATCCATACTCTTAGTGATCAACCTGGGAAGAAAGGAAGCATGCCATCTCCAGGACACAGCTTTAGTGCTCCTTCCTGCAGCTCATGTTGTTGATGGGCTGTTTATACCATTAGATTAGTTTCTTATTTTCCTTATTTCTAGATGGCATCTGTTCTGCTCATGGCAGGCTGGAGCGGGAGTGCAGAAATGGATATAGCCTTCTGGCCATCCCTCCACATATCCCTTGGACAGGCCAAGCTGTTGGTCACCTGATGGCAGGTGACAGCAGGTGATTTAAAGTTTCAGCTGTGGCTGAAGGAAGAAAGATTCTTCCTTTGTGTCCCTGGATTCAAGCCACAGCTGCGAAGTCGTAAGGGTGACACGTCACGTGCTTTGAGGTTTGCCCAGAACTGCTTAACAAGCCAACCTCTGAGGCCTGGTGGGCTCAATGGTGGAGAACCTCTGGCCTGTAGGCTCCCCAAATAGGGTGCCATCACTGAGAAGACCCTACTATGTATAATGTCTCCTCCCCAATTGTACTCATTAGAGCTAACACAAGGATCCCTATTGTAATGAATGGAAGTTGGCACCCAGAAAGTTTATATATGGTTGTCAGCTTAACCATGTTGCTTCTCCTCTCCATCTGCAGCTTGGCAAGAAGAAAAAGAAATACATGCCTTACCAGCACCAGCACATATACTTCGCCCGTGAGTTTCCCTGCCATTTTATTATAATTATAATAATAATATATTATTTATACCCCGCCCATCTGGCTGGGTTTCCCCAGCTACTCTGGGCAGCTCCCAACAGAATATTAAAACACGATAAAACATCAAACATTAAAAACTTCCTTAAACAGGGTTGCCTTCAGATGTCTTCTAAAAGTCAAATAGATGTTTGTTTCCTTGACATCTGATGGGAGGACATTCCACAGGTAGGGCGCCACTACCAAGAAGGCCCTCTGCCTGGTTCCCTATAATCTTAGTTATCATAGTGAAGGAACCGCCAGAAGGCTCCAGGAGATGGACCTCAGGAGTATGAATCCGGAAATTGCAACCTTTAGTAAAGCCATGCCTTGTGGATGAGAACAATGGCATTATTATTGGGTGGCATAAATTTTTTTGACAAAAGTTTTAGATGGATGATTTGATGAAAATATGGAATTCTATTTTAAGATATTGTTATTGTATTATTATTATTATTATTATTATTATTATTATTATTATTATATACTACTATTACTACTACTATTTGGCCAGTATGACCAGAGATGGATGGATAGATAGGCTGTATTGAGTTTGGGTGATTTACATCTTTGTAATGTTCTTGTTTTCTGATTTCACTAGTTTTGGCCCCGTTGACCTTCGTTTTATACGTCCAGTTTGCTGTATTGCGTTTCGCATTTCAAAGGAAAAATTGGCTGGTAAGTCACCTGCATATTTGCAGTGGTTTCTCCTCTGGATAAGTCTGTTTGGGGAGGGGTATAAGACAGAGCAGGAACAGTGGCAGTATGCAGGGAGCGGGGAGAACGGTAGGGTCCTGACACTTCCTTTTGCTCTCTGGTGCTATTGTACGCTGCCATGCAGTGAGCTAAGGCAACTGGGAAGACGTTGTTCTCTGCATACCTTGGAAGATCTACATCTCCTATGAGGCAGCTTTGAGCCTGTTGACTATGTAGTGCGTCAGGACACCAGAGAAACAGGGGAAGAGGCATATCTCCCTCCCTTGCATTGCATGTTGCTCCTGCTGTCATGGGCTGGTAATGCTTTATGGCAGGGGGTAGGCAACTTAAGGCCCGGGGGCCAGATGCGGCCCAATCGCCTTCTTAATCTGGCCCGTGGACGGTCCGGGAATCAGCATGTTTTTACATGAGTAGAATGTGTCCTTTTATTTAAAATGCATCTCTGGGTTATTTGTGGGGCATAGGAATTCATTCATCCCCCCCCAAAAAAATATATATATATATCTATATATAGTCCGGCCCACCACATGTTCTGAGAGATGGTGGACCAGTCCACGGCTGAAAATGGTTGCTGACCCCTGAGATTAGTGAGCTTCCCTGGGATCTCTGATTTGAACACCCTCCTAACAAAAAGCTTGGGTGACATCAGCAGATGAGAGGGATAAAAATCCCTTCAATGAATTATTCTGGGAATTCTTTTCACTTTGAAGAGAAATGTAGCTTCCTGTAGAAAATCTACCTGGCCCATCAGATTCAGTCTTGTCCCATCTTGACCATTACTGATCCCCTTCTTGCCCTTTCCTTTTATCATGACAGCATCCCTGGATGTTCTCATGCATGCAAACAGTGCTCTTCATCCATATTTCATTATGGCCTTTGTGATCTCCATAGTTGTTGCATACAGTTAGTAGATCTGAAATTAAGGACCTGGCAACTGTTTTCTAACCTATTCCCCCCCCCCCTTTGGCAGGAGTTTGCTTTCATGATGTTTTACTATGTCCGCGTCTGTCTCATGTATGTTCCTTTAATGGGATTTAAGAGCTTCATGGCATACTACTGGTTGGCCAGGTAATAGTTCTTTTGGCTTCTGCTTTTTCTGCTCTACAGGCTTTCCTTAATTTATGAGCTGTGTGTTCAGAATACATGCTCTCTTCATGTAGAAACTGGCTCCTACATATGTCATAGCCTCATACCACAATGACACAAAGGCAGCCCAGGAAGGTGCCTCACAGGAGAGACTGTGCCTCCCCTAGTGGTTACTCTAAACAGGTGGTTTCTAGATGCCCCCGGAGCCACCCATGGACCAACTGAAAATTGTTGAGTGTCTTTGAGGACCACTTAATGAATATTCTGCCTGTTGTAGTAATTGTAATACACTGTGTGAGATGCCGAATGGTTTTTAATTTCATTTTTACTGTCATGTTGCAAACCACCTGATTGAAGCTTATGGACCACTGTTCGGAAACCCCTGCTCTAAATGGCTTTTGGTCTCATGTAGGGTTGAGAAACCAGTGGGCCTCTGGATGTTACTGGACTCCAGCTCCCATCATTCCATGCTGGTTGAGGCTCATGGGAGTTGGAGTCCAACAGCATGTGGTGGGCTACAGGTTTCCCATCCCCGATCTAGTGATTTCAAAGCAAAATAAAAAGAAGGGTTGGCCTCTGTGTGTTTACCTCTAGCTTATCTGGATGGTGATTGTTAGTGTTGTTGCTTGTCTGCCTAGGTTCCTAGAAAGCTCTTGGTTTCTCTGGATCTCGCAGATGAACCACATTCCAATGAACATTAACTATGACCAGAATTTAGACTGGGTGTCTGCCCAGGTAAGATAACTACTGCTTTTATCTTCATCTTTCTTTCATATAACAAGCTCATTCCTAAATATATTTGGCACAGGGAGGAGACACAGTTCAATCCTTCCTTTACTTTGAGAACGCCTCATGATACTGATGTAGAACAGAATGTCCCTATTTTCATCTGAGTAATGTTGGAAGGTATGTTTGTGGTGGCTGCTTCACATTTTCTTACAGACACACACACACACACAGAGAGAGAGAGAGAGAGAGAGAGAGAGAGAGAGAGAGACTCTCCAGTTCCTTTCAAAAGCTGCAGGGCCAAGCAAGAAGAGGGAGGCACACAACAAGTTCAGCGGTTCAATGACAGAGCACAACAGCTAGAGTGTCCTTAATGAAAATGCTGTGCTCGCCATGCTCCTTCATTCAGAAAGGTGCTCTGGCCACCATACTCTGTGGGTGTGAATGGGTGATGGGTGGTGTGTATGTGAAAGAGTGACTAGATGAGAATTAATGTGTGTGTGTGTGTGTGTGCGCGCGCGCATGCATGCATGCATGTGTATAAGAGATACAACACTCAATGCGTTTTTTAAAAATGGCTCTCCAGTGCCAAGGAACCCATGTCACATTTTGGAAACCTGTGTTTTTTAAAGGAACATTTGCAGTGAAGTTTAAGTTTGGATGGACTGACAGGGAACTTCAAGTCAATGCATCCCTTTTGTGACGCATTCCTCATGGTTGGTGCTCATAATGTTGTCAGGGTGGTTATGTGCAATCATGCTTTCAATTCCATTTGCACCTGCAAAAGACTCAGGGGATGTTATAGGGCTTCGTTTGCAACAGGCGTATGTCCTGTAGTTTCTTACGATACGATAATCTTTATTGTCATTGTCCCATACAGAACAACGAAATTGAAAATCTACATAAGACATTCAAAACCCAACAAGCCTGCTATCCCAGCTATCCCAACCTGGTTAGCCCCCTAAAAACTCTGATACCCCATTTTAAAATACAATATACTTCCATACAGACTCCTTACAATGCGTTTAAAACCAAAATCGCATTTGGGTAGAAACTGTTTCTCAGACGGCTAGTCCTAGTCTTTATAACCCTGTACCTTCTTCCAGAAGGCAGAAGCTGAAAGAAATCATTTCCGGGGTGCGCACAATCCTGCGCTATCTCTGCAGCTTTCTTATGGCACCTGGAAGCATAGATTTGGCCCAAGGTGGGAAGAGTGCACCCAATTATTCTCTCCGCAGACTTTACAACCCTGGACATCATTGTTTTTCCCCTGACCGTGCAGCTCCCAAACCACACACACAGACCATAAGTTAATACACTCTCGACAATACAATGGTAAAATGCCATCAACAGGTCCTTTGAGAGATTATTTTTCCGGAGGATTCTCAGAAAATATAACCTCTGCTGTGCTCTCTTCATCAGGTCTTTGCTGTTTCCCCCCTAGGTTAGGTCATCTCTCAACTCCATTCCCAGAAATCGAAACACCAAGATCTGTTCCACACACTTCCCCTCAATAATAAGGGGCTGGATATTCAATTTACATTTCCTAAAGTCTACAATAATCTCTTTTGTTTTCTTTAAGTTAAGGAGTAAGTTGTCTTTCCTGCACCACTCCCCCAACTGCTCAACTTCCTTCCTATAGGCCGCCTCCCCCTCTCCAGCCATGATTAAACCAACACCGTTGTATCATCTGCAAACTTAATGATCTTATTACTGGGGTATTTGGGGGCACAGTCAGCTGTATAGAGCGTATATAAAAGCGGGCTCAACACACACCCCTGCGGCGTCCCCGTTCTTAAAACCTTGCAACTTTTCATATCACAAAGGTTCCAGTGGAGGAGGAGGGGGCTCCTAATTCAATTTCACCATTGCACCTAGCAATTTCTTTCTTGTCTGTTTAAAGACCAGTTCCATATATGAACACCAGAGAGTATTAAGGGTGTTATGGGAGGAGTAATACCTCTGGTGGGGGACCCATTATGCTCCTTGTGGGGGTAGTTTGTCCACCTTTGGTCCCCACCCTGCACTCTGCTCTCACCTGTGGCTCCTAGAAGCAGTTCAGCATCCTGAACTGTCCGGCATATATCCACATGCTTTTCCAAACTGCAAAAAGTCTTAATCTTTTTTTTTATTTTAATCATTTGTTGTGCTTGGATGACAGAGCCCTTTAATCCATTTTCAGTTGGCAAACCTACAATTCTAGTAAGTGCTTGAATCACTCCTGAGAAATACTGACAGTCTGGAGGCTGTAAAAAGTCAGACTTGTTACATAAGAAATGGCAGCTCAGCACACATTCATTATAGCCTTTGTGATAGTCGCGATTTTATGACCATATTTATTTATTTTGAATAGATCTTTTAGTTAACGCTAAAACAGTTTTTGTGTTGCTGTTTTCTTATCGAAACAGGGCTATGGCCCTGTAATATCATCATGCTATATATTTTTTTTAAAAAAATTAGAGTGTTATAGTGCAAAGTCAGTAATCTAGTGTTAATAAAAAGATCTATCAGAAAAATAAACAGGGTGAGCCACTGCGACATGAGTGAAATGATTCAGTAGCAGCATTAAGAACCGTGAAGGCCCACTGTCTTTAATTGTCCCTCTAGAAGTGGTTTCTGTCAGGATGTTGCTCACAGCCCAGTCTCAGCATCACTGTGCCGTGGCCAGCAAAGTGCTTGGATTCAAGCCCGTGGGGCAAACTCACTCTCTGTATGGAGTAGCATTCAGTTTGGGATGCAACCACTTAGAGCAACACCCTAAGCTTGACAAGCAAAGTGATGCCATTCATATCTGCTGATTCTAGGGATAGAAGGATCTCTCCATTTTGCTTCTTTCTGTTCTCCACATTTCTGCAGCAATTGGGTTTTTTTGAAGCTTATATATAAAAGCTTGTATCTCTATCTATCTATCTATCATCTATCTATCTATCTATCTATCTATCTATCTACTATCTACATATAGATAATCTTTCTATCTACTATCTACATATAGATAATCTTTCTATCATCTATCTACATATAGATAATCTTTCTATCATCTATCTATCTATCTATCATCTATCTATCTATCTATCTATCTATCTATCATCTATCTATCTATCATCTATCTATATCTATCTATCTATCATCTATCTATCATCTCCTCATCGAAATTTACTAGCATTTCTGTGACAATTTCTCTTAATAAGCACATTTTTCTATACCATCTTGCCCAATTACTCATTTTTGTAAAGCAATTTCCCCTAAAATAATACATTGGTTTTTATGGACGCTTTACCTTGATATATGCATTTCTGTAAGCACTGTTTGTTGGAGTACTGCATCATCCAATTCAGATAAGCACAGATTTCAAAGGATGGCTGTGATTTGGTTCTCGTATTGTTTTGGAAATTCAAGAGATGCAGCTTTAAATGTGAACTGTTGATAAAAACCATCGCCTTACTTGACCTGAAGTGGACCATATCAGAGGCTATTTAGAACCAATAGCCCCGTGAGAAGGCAAAACAGCAGTGAGGCAGGTGGAAATGGGAGGTATTTGAATTTAATACATAATAATAAATGATAAATAAATACCGTAAATCATGCTGCAGTTGGTATGGTTGGCTACCTGCAGGACAACATTTTTCCTCCAATAAAATTTGTAAAATGACCGCTGCCCACATTAAATGGGGGGGCACCCTTTGCATGGTCAAGCGCAGCCCCCTGGACCCTATGCAGCACCATTAGCACATGCTTGGCTTCGCCTCCTCCCACATGGGATACCTGGAGGTCTCCGCCTACCTCAGCCAGTTGCCCAATCCCGCCTGGGGAGGCGTTGCCAAGGTGATCAGGCCAGGTAGGGGGAGGGACTACCTGCCCACACAGTAGGGGGAGGATCTTACCTGGGAATCGTCAGTTGGCTCCAGAGCTTCTCCCACCCTACCCACCCTCAGTTAAGACTTCTTTTGCAGGTTTACCATTTCTCCACAGGTACCTGTTGCTACCTGTTGAAGGGCCGGAAAGGAATTCTCCTGCATTGGCAGATTTGCCTTTCCCGTAGCAAAATGTCACAACTTTGGCGGTATCAGGCCTTGGGTGGAATCCTTTCGTCTGTCTTCCCTAAATGGGGGTGGGGCATGCAGCGGTGACCCACGCCCACCCCCTTCACGGCGGTGATACCAGGGTTTCGCGTTAAAGGGGTTGTTTGAGGGGAGGTGTTGGCCGTACGCCTAGAGGTCGTCATTGCTCTCCCCTGCGGCAGTGGCGTAACGGGGGCGGGCTCTCTCTGATTGAACATATGTTCTCCAGAGCCAGCCCATCCCCCACTCACACTGGATAACCCTGATGTTCCCCAGATCCCCGGCGGGGGACTAGGAGGGATAAATGCCCAGTGCCTGAGCCAATGTCTACCCACATCTGAAACATAATAAAGTTGTGGCCAATTTTAATCCCATAGCACATTGTCTTGAGTCATTATTCCACACGGAGGACACCCAGGGTTTGAGGGACTCCACCTGTCCACGCAAAGAGATTATCATATGTATCTGTTGTGCTTTGTGCCATTTACACATAATCCAAAATTACATGAAAACATTAAAGCAAAAATAAATCCACACACCACAGTAAAGCTCACAGGTTGTTTGGAAACAACTTTAATTTACGTAATGCCCTCTGAACTATTTCACTATTTCATCACCCTTCAGTACACAGACTGGTAGCTCTCCTTTGGAATACAGTCATACCTTGGGATGAATATGCTTCAGGTTAAGCGTTTTCAGGTTGCGCTCCGCCGTGACCCGGAAGTAATGGAACATGTTACTTCCGGGTTTCATTGCTTGCGCATGTGCAGACGGTCAACATGACGTCACGTGCATGCGTGGAAGCAGCGAAACGCAACCCGCACACGCGCAGACGTGCAGTCGCGTGTTACGTTCACTTCAGGATGTGAACGGGGCTCTGGAACAGATCCCGTTTGCATCCAGAGGTACCACCATATCTTCATTCCCAGGATACTTTTGTGGTAATCCCACAAAAGGGACGGGAGTGGAGGGGGAAAGTTGTAGAAATAACCTTTAAACTAAAGATAAGAGCCAGATACTTTAATAGGGAGAATAACCTCAGTAGTTGTTATGAAAAGTGTTACGCACGTTTGAAAATATGACATGACTGGATTTTAACATTGCTATGTGCTTCCTAACTGCTAAGAAACTCCAGGAGTAGGTTAGGTTTCAGTATCCTTTAAAACGGGGGTCAGCAAACTTTTTCAGCAGGGGCTGGTCCACTGTCCCTCAGACCTTGTGGGGGGCTGGACTATATTGGGAGGGGGGACTTCAACTCATATAAAAACATGCTGATTCCCAGACTGTCCGCAGCCTGGATTTAGAAGGCGACTGGGCCAGATCTGGCCCCCAGGCCTTAGTTTGCCTACCCATTCTTTAAAGATTCGAGAGTTAAACGTGCATACGTGAACAGGAATTTAGGGCTGCAATCCTTAGCATTTGTAAGTCCCACTAAACTCAGCAGGGCTTACTTCTGAGTAGATATGCATAGGGTCGCTCTGTGAAGTGCTGAACTTTGGGTTAACTGTGTCTTATATTCCTCCCCCTCCCCCGGTGCTATGTAGATAGAGCAATAAGAAGCCATGATCTTGCAGGATCATCAAGGGTTTTTTATTTGTTTGTTTAACTTTTACTAAAAGCCAAGCAGAGAGTTATGTACACTTTCTAGAACATCTCTGCATACCTCTCTGTATGTATACAGTGGTACCTCGGGTTACAAATGCTTTGGGTTACAAACTCTTTGGGTTACAAACGCCACCAACCCATAAGCAGTACCTCGGGTAGAGAACTTTGCCCCAGGATGAGAACAGAAATCGTGCGCTGGTGGCAGCGGAGGCCCCATTAGCGAAAGCGCACGTCAGGTTAAGAACGGTTTCAGGTTAAGAACAGACCTCCGGAACGAATTAAATTCGTAACCCGAGATACCACTGTACATTTCTTTCCCTAGAAGTTCATAGCTGTCAACCTTCCCTTTTTTGCATGAAATTCCCTTATTCCAGCGCCATTTCCCGCTGCTTCCCGCTGCTACGGGATTGTTAGATATCCCACAGACTGTCCCCGGGACAGGTGAGGCTGCTGATCCCTTATTTTCAAGGCTCCCCGGGACAGGTGAGGCTGCTGATCCCTTATTTTCAAGGCTGCTGCTCTCTTATTTTCAAATCTGAAAGTTGACAGCTATGTAAAAGTTACAAGGAGCTAAACCCACAAGAAAAATTTGCCATAAAAAGGCATTGTCTTGTCACTTCTTAGGAATCTGTCCCTTATTGTCTGAAAGTGTCTAATTACATAGACTGTACAGGATCCCTTGTGCAAGCTCATTTTTCACAAGCAACACTCAGACTAATTGGAGGTATGATGAACAAGTTACAAAGAGGCTCTGGTTCCCAGTGACATGCAATTATCCTGGAAGCCGCCTGAGCTTCATCACTATGCATTTTGGATAAAAGGGACCTGACTGCGCTGAGGACAGACCGAGGTGATGCACACTTAAGGAAATCTGAGTTTCCAGTGTTTGTTGGCAGCAGCAAACATTTAACAAAAACTAATCTGCAACAGGTTCTGATCAGACCAAAGAGTGACCCTCAATAGCTTCCAAATACAGAAGACCCACCTCAACCACTTTCCTTCCAAACCACAAGCCTTATAAATTCATTTCAATTCAGGAATGCAAAGTGTGAGGGTGAGGAAGTGGGGCATCTGTCATTGACAAAGATCCAGAGTTCCAGAATGTGTTGTCAGCAATATGCTGATGACACACAGCTCTATTTCTCCTTTACATCTACAGGTGTGGTGGTGGATGTGCTGGATGAGAGCCAATAAGCAGGTGCTCAATCCAGATAAGATTGAGACACATGCTGGATCCATGCACATTAAAAAAAAAAACAAAGTTTCAGGGAAACGTGCTGTAAAGCTCATAATGGGAATCCACATTGCTGAAGGATTGTACTCTACAACACCATGTGGTGTCACAGTGTTATAATACATTTAAAATGCTTTTTTTTAAAAAAAAACAACAACCCCAATGTAACTGTGTCCACTGTTAGTGGGTGGCTCCCCAGACTAGATGAATGGGAGACTGCCTGCTCTTGAGGGGGTTACATTCCCTAGCTTGGGGGTGCTCCTGGATCCATTACTGTTGCTTGAGGTCCTGGTGGCCTTGGTGGCACTGAGTAACTTCTGTCAGCTTCGTCTGGTGGCTCAGCTACACCCCTTTTTCGACAGGGATAGCCTAACTTCTGTGGCTCGCACTATGGTAACCTCTAGGCTGGATTACTGCAATGAGTTATATGTTGGGCTGCCTACCATTCAGAAACTTCAGCTGGTGCAAAATTCAGCTACGAGGTTGCTCACTAGAACAAGACGATTTGATCTTATAACTCCAATCCTGGCCAGACTACACTGGCTGCCAAAGAGTTTCCGGGCCCAATTCAAAGTACTGGTTTTGACCTATAAAGCCTTGAACAGCTCAGGACCTCAATACCTTAAAGACCGCCTTTCCCCATATAAACCAGCCTGGACCTTGAGCTCGTCATCCAAGGCCCTTCTCCCTGGGAGGTTCGGAGGATGACAACACAAGAACAGACCTTTTCTGTGGTGGCTCCCCAGGGATGTAATATCATTACATATTTAGGCCCCACGTGAAAACATTCCTTTTTACCTAGGCCTTTGGCAGTTAAATAATCTATGGACTTTTATTATGATTTTTTTATTATGCTGTGTATTATGTTTTTTAAAATTATGCTGCATTAATTATATTATGAAGGTTGTACATCACTCAAGAGACTTCAGGTTTCCTGCCGATAGAACAGGGAGTGCAGGTCTGAGCTCCGGACAAACCCGAGCCCACAGAGGTTAGAGGGGAGTGCGCCAAGGCAAGCCTCCCCCCCCCCCCCCAAGCTCCACAAGGTTGTGTGGAGTGTCAAGAGGTCTGGCAGAGCACCAACTCTCCCGCCATCCCCGAAAAAACCACTGCCAACAGGCAAGCAGTGGGGGGGGGGAGAGGTTGAGAGTGCTCTCAGCTGCAACGCGACTCTGTGGGACGAAGCTTCGAGCTGCCTACTGACAGCAGGAGATTCTCAACTAAAAATATTCAAGCTGAAATAAAAGAGTAAGAAGAATTTTGCATCTTCTACCATTTTGATTGAAGAATCAGATTGGATTTAATTAGACTGAATTCGGCGATTCATGGAGGGTTAAAACAGGAGGTCCACCCTTCGATTTCTGGATAAATTACGTTACATGGAGAAAAGCTGCAAGTAGGAGAACTTCTTTTATTAAAAACTTATGGACAAGTGCCTGCTGATGAGCCACCAAAACCCATTCTTTACTGATTGTCAATACAGTGGTACCTTGGGTTACATACGCTTCAGGTTACAGACTCCGCTAACCCAGAAATATTACCTCGGGTTAAGAACTTAGCTTCAGGATGAGAACAGAAATCATGCTCCGGCGGCGCAGCAGCAGCAGAAGGCCCCATTAGCTAAAGTGGTGCTTCAGGTTAAGAACAGTTTCAGGTTAAGAACGGACCTCCGGAACGAATTAAGTTCTTAACCCAAGGTACCACTGTATCAGGAGAGTTTAAAAGTGGCTACGATGCTCTGTTGAGAGACAGAAAAAGGAAGGCAGTGCGAGATTCCTGTGAGTGTCAGGGAGCCCTAACACCACTGTCTCAAACCTTTCGTTTGTGGTTGTGGAAAGGAAAGTTCTTAACAACTGAACTCTATTCATAATTGCATATTATCACTAATGGATTATAAAACTGGGAATTTAATTTTGTACTGTGTTGAGGAACTCAGCAGAAGAGACTTGGATTAAGATATATGAAGAGCTTTGCTGAGGATTATAAGATTTCCTGTTGGGAGGAATAAAAGAAGGAAGAAGCTTGAAGTCTGCTCAATAAACACAACTGAGACTTTAAGGAACAGTTTGCAAGTGACTTTGTACCCCATTCTGAGACATTTCGGAAAAGCGGGCAAGCGGTTTGAATACATTCCCCCTGGAAAAATACTGGAACCCCCTGGTATTTACTGGGAAACTGTATTGAATGGCCTTGGACTTAATCAGGACTGATTAAGAAAACCGGCTGTGCTGAAAACAATGGAACAATGCTGAAATTATGGAATTTTTGTACCAATGGAAAAGAGAATTTATGGAAAGTATGGCTAAGATATCAGAGACCATCAGTACTAGATTGGATCAATATATAACAACATGGCGGAAGAACCGGAAACAAGAACAGACGCAGGGGAGACTCTCGGGTAAAGACAGGAGGGACAGTTTGTAGCGGGGGAGGCTAACTGTTATGAAGAAAATCCAAAAGCAAAAAGCAGGGGAAACTGAAGGGCAGCATACACAGAAAATATTTGAGGAAGTATTGGTAAAATCACCAATGTTAAGACAAGAGGAGCTGAAACTGGAAATGGCCTTAATTGGTAGCAGCTTCTTGAGAAGCTTTAAATATGAGTACTGTCAGGGAATAGTTAGAAATTTGGGTGAAATCACAACTGTGGAGACAGAGAGAAATTTGGGAGGAAGGAGGGCTGAAATGGAGATTTGTCCTAATTAGAAGCCTCTTTTGGAAGAGATTTAAATATGCCAAAGTAAGAGAAAAAAAGAACGGCTAACAGTCTGGAAAATGGTTGGAAATAAATTGGAACATCAGCAGACATGGATTAAATGCTTGCAAAAAGCAACAGTTAGGATAATTTTAAAAGGGGAAATAGCATGAAAGCATAGATGTGTAATGTATAAAGTGGTCTGAATGTTTAAAATATCTGTGCTGTATACCACAAGTTTAATTGTTTAGTAGTTGGAAAATTGGGTAAAGGGATCTGGAATGTAAGATGATTCGGTTTATTTAAAGAACCAGAAAAGGGGATGGATTGGGGATGGGAGGGGGGTAAAAATGTGCTGTTTTTATTATTTTTTAATGTTAATGAGAAATGTGTGGGGTAATCTGGTACTGATACAATGTGGCATATATTGGATTTTTTTATTGAAAATAATAAAAATTATTATTATTATTTTAAAAAAGGTCGTACATCAATCTGGGATCTTAGGATAAAGTGTAGCATATAAATCAAATCAGCAGCAGCAGCAGCAACAACAACAACAACAACATGGTTCTTCATGTCTGTCATATACCAAGACCCGCATCAGTTCAGGCAGGGATTTTGAATATTAAACTTGTAACCCTTTCTCAATAGAAGGTGGATTAAACAGTTCCCAGTCATTAAACAGATTAAGAATTTGCCAAGAGCAAACTCATCAGTGCACTGAGTTACAATAAATTGTCTCGGAAACATTTGATCCTGGCTTGTAGCAGCAAGCCCCGAGTCATTGTATAATTGGTGCTTCTCCTCAAGAGTTCCTGCCTGCTATTAAATATAATGATAGAGGGAAAAGAGCCTTTTGGGTGCTCAGACTGCACCTCTCTAATACACTGCTCACACATCCTTTGCTTGGGTTACCTTACTTGTTCTTCCTTAAATAGCGCTCATTAAAATGTCTGAGATTATCTTTGACAAGACCCAAGGTGCACAAGGAGCCATATTGTTCCTTTCGCCCACTTCATCAAATCACAGCAAGGTTGAAGGAAAAGCTCTAGGGTTTTTCCAAACATATAAGGGATTGCGGAGCAAGATTCACTGAAGGCAACCTTGATTTTAAACATAGGCTTTGTACACATCATACATTTAAAGAACATGACTTCTCCCAAAGAATCCTGGGAATTGTAGTTTCCTCCTCTCAGAGCTACAATTCCCAGCTGACTTGGCAAATGACAGTTCCCAGGATTGGGGGGGGGCGCATATTATGCTTTAGATGTGCTTTAACTATGTGCTGTGTACACAACCCTAGAATAAAGCCAGCAATAAAACTGACCTTGCTTTGGGGCACACAGCTTAGGAAATTCAGCATCATTCCTTCACTATTCCATCAGAAAGCAGAGATGGCTGAAGATGTTTTGCTGCCTAAAGCAAAGGACAAGATCCTGAGCCCACACACACCCAATTTGGGAAGCCTACTGGACTGGCAGCTGAATCTTACTGTATTTCAATACTGGCAATAGTACTGAGGGAAACGGGCTAGATATGGGGGGGTCAAAAGGAGGCCATGGCCAGAGGACCCAGGAGGAACAGCTGGGGTGGAGAGGCTACCACTATTGGTCTCTAGCCTTGGCCATCTGAGGCAGTCATGACACCATGGACATTGTTACAGTTTACCCACAGGGACCAAGGACTGGATCTTTTGCACTAGGCCCCAGATCTCCTGCCTTTTCCCCTCCTCCTTTTTAAAACTTTGGAAAATGTTGTATCTTTACTCACATGGTGACTGAGCACCACAGTGCTGGTGAGATCCTGCTTACCCACATATCCACAATCTTTCCCCACCCCAGAGGCATGTGTACATGGGGAGGGGGGATTATTGGGTGTTTCTTGTTTTTTCTTTTTGTTATTTATTTATTTATTTATTTATTTATTTATTTATATTGTGCTTTTATGCTGTGAACCACCCTGAGACCTGTGGGTAGAGAAGAGCAGTATACAAACAACAACAACAACAACGTCTATGCAAGTTGTATGTGAATTAGTGCCAGGGGCCTCTGCTTAGATCAGGGGTGTCCAAACCTTTTTCAAAGGGGGCCAGATTTGGTGAAGTGAACATGCGTGAGGGCCAACCATTTTGCCTGACCTCCTTTGAACCATTAAAATTAAATGCAAATTAAATTAAATGCAAATTAACTATTTTATGCAAAGTTTATTGCAAACGGCATAATTTTCATTTTGTCACATGGATGACAAATCTAAACAGGTGATAGA